ACACGCCAAAGAGAGAAAGAGCCCACCCGCTACTCCCTCTCCTCCTCGCGCCAGGCAGCTGGTGGTGGACAGAAGTGATCATTTCTGCTGGGCAAAACAGCAGCACTGGTGGCCAGTAGCAAGAGGGTGTAACTTCCTGCTCCGGCCCGCAGCTGACACAATAAGGATGTTTAAAGAGGGAGTCAGAATCCCTCTCCTAGAGAGCTCGCAGTCCAAACACACAAAGGGCGAGGATCTCTTTCCGACAGCCGTGCCTGCTGCAGCACTTATTGCTAATGTCTAACGAAAGAGTCCCGGCCACCCCCCTGCACAAGGCAGTGCTGGGGCTCGGCGGGGAAGGCTGGCGCTGGATAACCTCAGCTCAGAGCACTCACCTGGTCATTTCCTTCGGGGGGACTCCTCATGATCTCAGCGTACTGCGGGTCGGACGGACTTTCTTCCACGGGGCCCGTGGGGGTGGCAGCTGAGGAAAGAGCGGGAGGTTAAGAGAGGAGCGAGAACAGCAGCCCGGAGCGTTGGGATCTTTGCCCGTCACGTCTGTCGTGAGCTGAGCCCCGCCGCACAGCTCCAAATCCACAGAGCCACCCCCACAAAATCACGGGCAGGGAGTCCACGCGAGTCCTTCTCCAGAGAAGACACAATCGGCATGTTTGATGTTAAGATGCTAGATCCCGGGTACATTCGGATCCATAGGCACTGACTTCTGCTCCCGCCGGTGGGGGCTCGACCCGCCTCTGCCCCCAGCCCCGCCCCCATTCTAACCCCTTCCCCAAAGTCCCCGCCCCAACTCTGCCCCCTCACTGCCCCTATTCTGACTCCTTCCCCAGATCCCCACCCCGGCCCTGCCTCCTCCCCTGAGCGCGCCACAGTCCCGCTCCTCCCCCTCCCTCTCCCTCCCAACATGCCGCCGAACAGCTGTTTGGTGGCGGCAAGGCGGGAAGCGTTGGGAGGTAGGCGGAGGAGCAAGGACGCGGGAGCTTGGCTGCCAGTGGGTGCCCGTGGGTGCTCCAGCCCCAGAGCACCCACAGAGTCGGCGCCTATGTTCAGATCATAATGAAAAAGGGGTTAAGGCCTTGACTATGCCGGGCATTGGGCCTATTCTCCCCGTGGCCAACTCTCATGAGTTTATCGTGAGCCTCGTGGTAGTTGGTGTGTATCTTAAAGCCCCAGCTCCCGGAGTCATGTGATTATGGGAGAGTCTCAGCGCTCCTTAAAAAAAAAAAGAAGCCAGATTCTAGCCCCCTTTGCAGAAGAGAGTTCAGATCAGAGCCCTGCGCAGGACTCTATTACAGCAGCACATCCTACGGGATCCCAGTCCTGCCGCAGGGCTCTAGTTCAGACACCACGGCAGAGTCCAGCCCTGGTGCGAGCGGTGGGCTGAAAAGGACTTTCCTTACCCGGGTCAGCCGACTTCTCATTGTTCATCCGCCAACACCAGACGGCAGTCCCAAGGCTTAGCACTAACAGGAAGAAAGTCAGCACAATGTACCCCGGCTTTGAGAAGGACGCGTCTGCATCTGGAATGGCAGAGGGCGGAGGTTAGCAGCATCCCGCCAGGGCTTGTGGGTAATGAAGAGCCAGGGCTTAACGTCCCCTAGCCATCAGGCCGCGGCTGAAGGAGACGCCGCTGCTGGGGCCTGAGCCGAAGGGGAACCTTCAGTGGGTGTGGGACAGACCCTAGTGAGAAGGGGACTTCTACCCCCAGTAAGGCCATTTGCTCCCAGTCATGGGGGTGTTATCTGGTCACATGGTGCCTCTCTGAAGAGTAACCAGACCCAACAATGACTGAGCTGGATAAAAACCAACACCCCAAATTCCCTGCGGCACGCGGTCCCTTTCTACGCTGTGTAGCAAACGGGTCAGTGTTTCTTAGGGCAACTCCTCACGCCCCTCATCAAATCTGCGGCTCCCATCCCCGTAGCATCTGGGCAGCATGAGCGAACGTAGCATCAGGACACCGTAGTGAGGTAGAGAGGCGGGATCGTCCCTCATTTTTACAGACGGAAACTGAGGCACGGGGGAGGAGGGGAGGGAGTGGCTGGACCCAGGCCACCTAGCAGGTTAGTGGCTGAGCTGGGAATAAAAGTGAGGTCTCTCGAGTGCCAAGCTGGTGACCTAACCACTAGACCGCACTCTCTCCCTGAAACAAAGCATCAGGTGTTGCCATCAACACAGAGACAGGCCACAAACCCCTCACCTCCACTGCGGCAGATGCTCTGCAGGTCGAAGGCAATGATCTTCTGATCCACAGGGTTGCTGACCGTGCAGGTGTAGGTGGCATTCAGGGAGCTGGGCTGCAGAGACAGCTGCAGTATGCTGCCATCAGGGGAGAGCTGGTGCCGACCGGGATCCAGCTCTTGGACCGGGTTCCCTCTGCCCCAGGAGATGCTCACGTTTCCCTTCCCCGAGCCCTGGCAGTGCAGCGTGACGTTGCACCCCTCCAGCGTGCTGGTGAGCAGATGACTCCGGATCCGGGGCTGTGGCACTGGCTCTGTGTTCAAAGACAAGCGACACTCAGAGGAATGGGATATGCTCCGGTCACCGTGACAGCTGATCCCTGCTGCTCGGAGCCTCCACACCCCATTCACCCCGACCCCGACCCAGGGCAGGTTGGAAGTTCCAGAAGGGAAGAGCGTGACTGAGCGCGCCCTTAATGAGGCAGAAATTCCTCAGAACGCAGGAGTTCTGAGTGTAACTCAACAGCACGGTCCAGGGGACGGGCAATCACAGAGCTGGTCTACAGGAGAAGGTGAGGTTGACCCAGCTACGTTGCTCGGGGGGGGGGATTTCTCACCCCCCGAGAGACGTAATTAAACCACCCTATGCCCCAGCATAGGCAGCGCTAGGTTGATGGAAGAATTCTTCCGTTGACCTAGCTGCTACCTGCGTCTGGGAGAGACGGATTGACCATAGGGATAGAACAAGCCCTACCGTGGCTGTAGCAAGTGTCCACACCACAGTGGCGGTGCCATTGTAGAGTTTCCAGTGTAGACACGGCCTTAACCTCACATCAGGCATGGGGGGCGGGGAGAGGGCTCGTTCGGCCGGCTGTCCACAGTGGGGAAACTGGGCTGAGTTTTCCTTTGTGTGTTCATTCCTCCAGTCTGTCACCAAACACAAAACGCCCGACCAAAGCCCCGGGGCTTTGACAATGGAGTCAAAGATACGATCTCCCATGGAAATGCCTTTGTATCTCCAGGTAGACCTGCCATGGCTCAGTTCTCCCCCAGCAGCGCCAGGCAGGAACTAGAGCTCCAAGGTGCTAGGCGCTGCATAAACAGAGAACAAAAGGACAGTCCCCCGCCCCCCACCCCCAATGAGCCTGCCATCTCTTCCCTCCGTCCAGGGACGGCTCTAGCATTTTTGCCGCCCCAAGCACGGCAGGCAGGCTGCCTTCGGCGGCACGCCTGCGGCAGGTCCGCTGGTCCCGCAGCTTCGGCGTACCCGCCGCCTAATTGCTGCCGAATCCACGGGACCGGCGGACCTCCTGCAGGCATGCCGCCGAAGGCTGCCTGACTGCCGCCCTTGCAGGGACTGGCAGGGCGCCCGCCGCGGCTTGTCGCCCCAGGCACGCACTTGGAGCGCTGGTGCCTGGAGCCACCGCTGCCTCCGTCTATCTCACCCCCAAGGGCCTGACCCCGGCAATGGCAGGTTTGCTGAGGACTCCAACGGGAGTGGAATCAGGACCCAAGTGGATGGGTTTTGCAACACACCCAGAAAGTTGATCCATCCAGCCTCTTAGCGGGCCCAGGCGGGGGAAGCAGGTTCGAGACCCCAGGAGCCCGCCTGGATGATTCCCTGCGGATAGACCCTTGTCTTTGTAAACTACGGGAGGTGCAGCATCTCCAGTGATCTCCCTGCAGCAGATGGCGTGATATGGTACCTGGCCACCCGCCTTGTCTATCAGGGAGCCCTCGTAACCCCAGAAAACGTGCACTACAGCTGCTGGGATTGTATTGTAACAAACATGTCTGGGTCGTCCCAAGCACTAGGTAAACAGTTCACCTCCTGTTCACCTGGGGAAAGGGTGACGGGAGCCGTCTGGCTGCTCAGTCTAAACAATAAATATATGGAGATATACCTACCTCATAGAACTGGAAGGGACCTTGAAAGGTCATTGAGTCCAGCCCCCTGCCTTCACTAGCAGGACCAAGTACCATCCCTGACAGTTTTATTTTTATTTTTTTTGCCCCAGATCCCTAAGTGGCCCCCTCAAGGATTGAACTCACAACCCTGGATTTAGCAGGCCAATGCTCAAACCACTGGGCTAGCCCTCCCTCCTGCTGGGTGACCTAAGGCATGTGCCTGCCCTGTGCCTCAGTTTCCCCATCTGTAAAATGGGGATAACGCTACTGACCTCTATTGTAAATTGCTTTGAGATCTACAAATGAAAAGAGTGAGGGATTATCGTTAATATCAGAGCTTCAGCCACTGCGTATTCCTGGAAACGCTGTTAGGTAATATCCATTTGTCGACACTTACCATAGACCACGAGGCGAAAGGCCAGTTCCTCCACAGTTGCTGGTACTATCTTAATCCGGGCCTCATAAACTCCGCTATCGCCCAGCTCCAGAGCCTTGATCCTCAGCGAGGTCTCGTTGTACCTTTCTAGCCTCTGCTTAAATCTGTCGTTGGGATCGGGTCGCTCAAACTTCCCCCCACTGAACTCAGCCAGCTGAATCGTCACACCTGACCCAGCACGAAAGCTCCATTCGATCTCTTTCACCTTTCTCCCGGGGGATAGATCCACTGACAGCACGACTGATCTTCCCAGAGTCCCATTTACCTGGCGGGGGGGTGTCGGTGCTTGGGCGACCAGGATATCTAAGAAAGAGGGCAAGGCAGAAACGTTACAGCCTTCTAGCGTGTCACAAGATAAACAGAAAAGCAGCAGAAAGAAGGCGAACTGAAACGTGGTTTTTAGTTTGCTAAATTTCCCTTCCAGGCTGCATCTCTTTTAAAAATAACCTCCCCTGCCCCTCCGCCCCCCGTGTGCTCTCCATGGCACGGCAGGTTATGTCTACACTGAAGCCGGGGGGGCGCGTTTGCAGCAGACAGACATACCCGAGCTAGCTCTAATCTAGCTAGTTCAGGTACTCAGCGTCCCAGGCAGCTTCCACAGCCCATGGTGCGTGAGCTAGCTAGATTAAAGCTAGTGCAGGTCTGTCTACACCTGCCGCAGTCACACACCCTGAGGGCAGCGTAGACACTCGCTGAGAAGGGAAACGCCTCTGTGATGCATGGCTAGAAAGGGCTAAACAGCCTGCCAAATAATAACCCTCATAAGACATGTGGAGAGATAATGTTTGTGGTTTTGTGTATTTACATATGTATGAGAAGTTTGGACAATGTAACCAGCAGTCCCTGTCTATGCTGTTTTCTGATAATTCAGAGGTTAAAAGAACATCCTGTCATGTAAATGAATTGTAAATGTGGGACATCTCGGCATTCATCTCTCTTTGAAATGTACTGTGAATGGTGGAGGAACAAGCAAATGGCCTTATGTTAATGCGTATAGCTAAGTGCCGGTGACGGACCTCCTTCAAAGTCATCCTAATCACCTTTTGTTCCCTGAGGAATTCCAACTTGTCAAAAGACATGAAATTGTATAAAAGATCCTTGGTCCTGATTCTGTCATCTCAGATCTGCTTAAGCTTCATCAGGGGAAGTTTGAGTCTGAGGCCCCTGTTATGCTGGTATGCCCTGAATGTGAGATTTGGACATTGGACTTTAACCTATGAACTATTGCTGAAAGAACTCTCTGCAACTACAAAGCTCACCATCTCTGCTCTGAATCCGAACCTCAGTGAATCGAACTCATGTCCGTACGTATACTGATCTTTTAACCAGACCCTCTCTCTTTTGTTTTTAGATAAATATTAGTTTAGTTAATAAGAATTGGCTGTAGCGTGTATTTGGGTAAGATCTGGAACATTCATTAACCTGGGAGGTAACATGTCCAATCCTTTGGGATTGGCAGAACCTTTTCTTTTATATAATGAAATAAGATTTACAGAATTTTTCTTCAGATTTGACGTGGGTACCTGGATGGAGGCCTGAGGCTGGGGAACTTTAGGGGAACTGTGTTGTTTGGACTTCTGAGTAGCCAGTGAGGTAATAAAGAAGCTGTTTTATGCCTTTTTTTATCTACTAGCTTTACAGGGATTGTCTGCCCCGTTCTTTGCAGTTCACCCTAATTGAGGGACCACAGCTGGCCCCC